AAAAAAAAAAGTCATGGCTCTTTTTTTTGGTACCGGGGAATGAACTCCGGTCCTTGCGCTTATGAAGCAGGCGGTGGAAACACTGAGCTAAATCCCCAGGCTCATCATGGCTTTAACATCTAAAGGGGACCTCCAGTTAATTGTGATAGAATCAACCCCCTGCTTCTATCCAAAGTTCCCCAAAATAACTAAAAAGAATTGGAAGGGAAGAACTCTCAAGAACTAAATGTGTGGTAGGAGTTGCGGTGCACAACAGTAATCCCTGCATTCTGGGAGGTGCAAGCAAGAGGATCACTAGTTTAAGCCCAGCCTGGACAACTTAGCAAGACCTTGTCTCAAAATAAAAAAAGGGCTGGGAATGCAGATCAGTGTGAAGGCCATGGGTTCAATCCCCAGTACTGTACTACAAAAACAAATAAAAACCCCCAAATACGAGAGTGGGAGAGACAGCATTTTGAAGCCAGAGTACATGTCCAGCTGACTTAGGAGACCAAAAAAGCTGAAAATTCTGTTAACAGTAAACGAGGTCAAGCAGCGCAGAGCATCTAGCCGAAGAACTACAGAAAGGCTCAGGAATGGACGATCTCAGATATTGCTGAGGGTAAACCTCGAGCTAAAACCAGGTTTAACCCCCCAAAGAAAAAAGGAGAGGTAACTGAGCGTCTCTATAACACCCCCATAGCTATCGACTTGAGACTATGACGATGCCAGCAGCCAGTGTGTATCCTCAAGATAGGAGATGATGGCTTCTCAGAGCAGTGCTCTAAAATATGAGCATATATTCAAGAACCATGACATTTCAGACAATTATAGAGACACAAACACATAAAGGAATTTGGAAGAAAAACAGAAAAAAGTCATAAAGGGAGAAAGTATAATATTCTCAATGAGAAAATAGAAGATATTACATAAAACATAAAAGGACACTGTTTTAAAAGTTCAGAGATTGAAATGGACTTCTAAGATATGAAGTTTAATATCTGAATGAGTCCTAGAGGGTGAGAACATAGAAGAAAGGGAAGAAAAAAAATCAAAGGACATTAAAAATATTTTCCCCCAATGGAATGACATGAGGTTTTAGATTGAAAAAGCCCAGCAAGTATCCAGAACAAAAGATGAAAGGGACCAACAGGATGGCACATCATTGTGAAATTGCAGAAGATAGGAATGAAGAGAAAATCCTTAAAGCTTCCAGAAAAAAGGGGGGAAAATCATGTAAAATGAGACTAGAATGGCTTCAGTGTAATACTGAAACAATCTTTTCAAAACTGAGGGAATTATGAATTGTAACCTAAAATTCTATACCTTAGCAAAGACATAAATTGGGAAGGTGAGTTAAAGATGTTTTTGATGTTGCAAGCCTCAAAAACACTGACTTCCACAATCTATCCCTTTGAAGAAAGCTTTTAGAGAATGCACATCTTCAAAATATTCCTTTGAGGGCCAAGGATTTAGCTCAGTGATTTTGCTGCCTGCTGTGCAAGCGCAAGGACCAGAGTTCAATCGCCGGTACCAAAAAAAACAAAATTCCTTTGAGAGAAATGGTATTTTCCCAAGGAATTGGAATTTTTGCCAGCTGATCAACACCATGTGGTTACATCAACTAGGCATATTATCACTTTTAAGAAACATAAACTGCTGAAGTGAAATTTGACATGTGAGGCTAGCCAACTGGTAAACTCATTAACAAAGCACAGGTATTTAAAACCTGTGAGAAAAGAGAAGTTATTACAAGTTAGTAATCAAATTAGGATGAACAATAAAAGAACAATTTAAAAAAATTGTCTCACTATAGTTTATAGTCTATTGTCCCAGGCTGGGTTTGAATTTGTGGTCCTCTTGCCTCATTCCCCAAGTAGCTGGGATTACAGGTGTGTGCCACAGGGAACTGCACTATGATGCTCCATTAATACTATCCTTTTTTGCATTAGGAAAATGTTTGGTTTTATTAAAGCCTATCTATTTCTCTAACATGTACATGCACATCTCCACTCATATATGTATGCCTTAATAAATCTGGCTGATTTCACAGGATCAGCTACATGGTAATAGAGCCCTACCAGCTAAGCAACATTGTATTATTGAATGAAAAAATTTATATTCCACTTTTTAGAACTCACTACTTCACCTGTAAGGAGTCACATTAACAGGAATATCTGTTACATATGGGAAATACTATACTGTATATAAAACTTGCTTATTGTTTTATAAGTGAAAATATCTATTTTGCTTATTTTTCAGTAACCAGCTTTGAGTGATTACTTAAAATAATTAAATGTTGGAGTAATGTCCTTTTATTTTCACCCAAAGTATCACTCCTGATAGCAACATCTTTAACTGCTGATTTGGTTATCTCCAGCTTCTTTAGAACAAAATCACAAGTCTCTGATTCACTGTCACAGTTACTATCAGCTAAACATCCTCTCAATGCCCCTGAAAACCAACACTGCTATTTTGTTTTTTATATTGTTTTAAAATTTGTGCTCTAAAAAAGGGTTTGTACCAGTATGAAAAACCCCAAAAGCCTTATGACAAAAGTTTCAGTATATGAAGAGTTAAAATAAATTCATGAAAAAAGTTTAAAACCAGGCTTTAAAAAAAACCTCAGTCTCAAATAATACACATTTTAAATATAAGAAAATATAAATTCCCCAGAATAGGGCTCTTTTAAAGCACTAACTCTTAACCAGGCTTTTGGTATCATTTGTTTTATACAGTTTGTATGAACATACTGTCATTATTTGATTGCTCCAATCCAATACACTGCTTCTTTTAGAAGAGCCCTACATCAGTTTATCCCTTATCAGCAATGTAAGATTTCTTAAGAAAATCAAAGTTAGCATCCATTTAGAACTATATTGTCTAAAACAGGAGTTACAGATGAGGTATTAGCTGAGACCTAGCTGAGCAGCTACTACTAGAGCACGCAAGGCAAAAGGTAAAGAAATTAACTTCACTAAATGCAAGAACTAAGCTACTTTCTGCATTCTGTACTCATGCTATAAGGAATTCAACTTGTTATTTCCTACTTTCACCAATACTTATCATCACTTTTCCACCCTCCAGCAATCCCACACCAGAAAGAAAAAGTATACGCACCTTAAAATCTGTATTATTGATATATTCAAATACCAAAGCTGGTGTCTTTGACTGCAAGAGAGAATATTAATGCTTTTTAGGTATTCAGACAGTAATAAATGTGATTTGCCTCTGCCACAATGGTGCATCCCCAAATCCTACAAGATAGAAGAGGGATTCAAAAGTATTTTCTGGAAATTTTATGACATTTGGAACTTGCTTCAAAATAATTGAATAGTGGAAGGTGGGGGCAATGGGTAGGGACAGAGATGGAACATGGCTGGCCATAAATGGATTAACCACTAACGTTGAGTAATATGTAAAAGTTTGTTCATTATACTATTCACTTTACTTCTGTAAATGGCTGAAATTTTTATTAATAAAAAGGGGTTTTTGTTATTGTTTAAAAAGGAAGTATTCTCTGAAAAGCCTACCAATGGCCTTGACCAAATGGTTAATGGTTATAGGAAGATTTATACCGTATAGTATTTCAGTGTGCCAACTTCAAAAGGAGTGATATTTTCATCTAGTTTTAGAAAGCAAGATGCATTTAACAGAATTTTTATTAGTCTTGGGAACCACATACAAGTCTTTCAGGGTACTAGAAGAAAACATAAAATTATCAATAGGCCATACTATAAAATTACTGCCTTGCTTAGAGAACATTAAAAAATACTCTACCTTACAAGGCAAACATATTCCCCCAAAATCATATATAATTTTTTTTTTTTTTTTTTGGTTTTTTGAGGCAGGGTCTCCCTTTGTAGTTCAGGTTGGCCCTGAACTCACTATGTAGCCCAGGCTGGCCTCGAATTTGCGGCGATCCTCCTGCCCCAGTCTCCTGAGTGCTGGGATTACAGACGTGTGCCACCACGCCCGGTAATCATATATAATGAATTTTTTAAAAATTCTTTAATGAGTATAACATATTCACTACTTTCTTGTGGAAATCTAGATTTTTAAATGTCAGGTTTCCCTAAGTGAAATAAAATAATGCTAACTGGTAGTTATAAACTTTCAAAATTGGGAGAAAAACAGGAGCTTAAAGCATTATACACATTTTTAAAGACAGTCATCTTGGAAATCTTTGTTGCTGGTAACTTTTGCCCAAGGACTAGGTCAAAGTTACCTAAGAAATAGGCCACAGTACATACACACAGAGCTTTGCCAGGACAATGCAGAATCCAAGCAGAAAATCTAGCTGCAGCTGTGAACAAATGATTCTTCCCTGGCTCCAAACTGTAATGGTTTCATTAAGACCGGATATCTCCACAGACTCTTGAGTAAGCCTGATCCTCTCAAACACAGAGGACAAGGATTCCCTGCTGATTTTCATCTACTTCAATTTACTTGTCTCACGTATCAGTAAGATATACATATATTTTAACAAATTACAAAAATAGTAAAAGATCACTAAATTCTGTTAACTTAAAAAAAGCAACACAAAGATGTTCCTGGTGTACTGGCTCACACTTTAGAAATTCTTCCGAAATTAGTATGTTTATATATGGCATTCTATTTTAAATGGGAAACTCATTTTAATGAGGCCAGTTTCAAACATCAGGCAGTCCAGACCTAGTCATTATTAAATCACTCTGAGCCAAGTAGGATGTGATATATTTTTAATGATAACCAGATACAATCTGGCATACAACTATCCCTTCTCAGTCTTTTCAAGGTCCAAAAGAAAAACTTTTCCTTATTTTTCAACACTGTATACTCTTGGGCAAATCACTTAACCTCTGCAGAATTTAGTTTCCTCACTATACAATGTGAACAACAGGTTCCCTAGACTGTTAGGAGGATTAAATGTCATACAGCTCAACACTCAGAATAGTGCCTGATCTGTAATAAGTACTCTGTGTACATTAGCCTCTATATCATGAGGGTATCTCTAGCACAGAGAAGCAAAGACCTACTTCTTAAATAAAAAAACTATCACAGAGGAGAACAAGGAAATACCTGGAGTAGAGCAGGTGGAGAACAGAAATGAGATAGGAAGTGGTACAAAACGGGGGTGGGTGGGTATAGTTTGCAACCTTCTTTAATCAAAAACATAGAACGTTAAATTTCTCCCAGGGAGAGAACAAAATTCAACAGCATATCTGAAAAGGCTAAAAATTAATCATCTTAACAAAAATATTTTATGTGTAAAAAATATATTTTAGTTGTATTTATACACACAACATGAGCCCTTATGGTGGACCGGAATTAACGACTGGTATGAGAAACAGCAAGGCATCTTCCTCAGGGGGTCTGGTGGGCTGTGACCTGCTCAGCTCTCTATGCCAGGTGTCTATGTGGAAACATTCAGTATTTCCTTATATAAACCCAGACTTTCCACTATCAGGCTTACATATGAGTGAGGTAAGATAATGAAAACTGACAGTAATAAGGTTTCAAAACTGAGACAAAAGCAGGGGCTTAAGGGAGGTGCACAGCAAACACTTGTGGACTAAAACTAATGAGATAACAAACCTGGGACAGGTTTTTTTCCCTATATATATATTTTTTAGATTCCACAAAAGTGGTGGTGGCTGTCTTATCAATGGGCCATGATGATTTTTGTCTGGTTTTCAAAACCACTAGGCAGTAAATACAAATGCCATCATCCCCACTATGCACCCTTACTTGAGGATCTCTGTGTTAAACCCCCTCCCACAACCCCCCAGGCCACTAGAACGCTCCCCAGCCATCAGGCACCTACCACGGGGTCCTTTACAGTGTCAATCAGCTTAATGATATTTGTTCCACCACGAAGATTCTCCAGAATCTTAACCTCTCGTTTTATCTTCTTTTTCTTCACTGGCTTAAATACACAAGAGTAATCAGAAGTGAGACTCCTTTTAAAGTTATTATAAAAAACACAACTTTAAAACAATGTAAGCCAATTATATGGCCTGCATGCCGTCTTGTATACTGTGTTGTGTTAAAAGAGCATGCCTAAATTAGAAAACAGATAAAATGGGCTTGCCTGTAAGAACCTTTAACATTAAATTAAACAATTTACAGACTCATGTAGCTTATTTCTCAAGAACTTTAAGTAGTTACATCTAGGGCACTTAAAAAAATTTGAACGCTCATGTCATACTTTAAAAATAAAATGCTCACTTACTAGATAACTGCCAAATGGAAAGTGTTATATAGCTCTGAACAGCTGTATATCATAGACTAACAAATGGAAAATCTGAAATAAAGTGGTGAGACACTTGCTCCTTCCAATGAGTTACATATAATTTTGTCTTCCAGAAGTGAAGACCAGTTCAACGACATCAAGTTACAAACTTGTTTCCCAGCTGCTAGTTCCCATTTCCTGTTGCCACTCCCATTTCCTTAATATCTAGAATCTGAAATCAGCACTGAGCCAGAATATTTTCCATCAGATCCCATTCCTAATGGAAGAGTTGTTGGATCAGAGAAAAGAAAAACTGATCTAATACAGAAGTAACAAAAGTATCTGCTAAGCTACTGATCTGCTAGATAGAAAAATTAAAGAACTTAATTAGAAATACTTGCATAACACATAATTTCCTGTTTTAAACAGGCTAAAGAATTTGAATAAAGGTAGTTCTGGGGTTTGTTTTTTTTTTGTACTGGGGGATTGAACTCGGAACCTTGTGCTTGCAAAGCAGGCAGCAGCACCACTGAGCTAAATCCCTGGCTCTAAAGGTAATTCTGAAAAAATAAGTGTATCACAGGCCAGGGATTTAGCTCAGTGGTGTTGCTGCCTGCCTCACAACCACAAGGTCCTGAGTTTGATCCCCGGTACAAAAAAAAAAAGTAAATCACATGTAAATATGCTTCGTAAGTCACTTAGAACAGTGAGTGGCACATTAATAACCACACAGTAATTGTTAGCTTATTTCTGAATTTTTAGTTAGTAGTGGGTCATTTAATTTTCACAAAATCTCTACGTAGTAGAGTCAGCAGAGAGCTATTTGCCCAGGGTCACATCTAACAGTAGAACAGGAGCAGGAACCAAATCTGGGTGGTCTGACTCTGGATGCCACATTCTTCACCACTGTGCTTTTATTCCCAAGTGTGGCTAAGGAGAGAAACACACTGTAAATAAGGAAAAGAAGTATTCTATTGCAGAGACACTGTTATAATAGCACAGGCAAAGAGGGGCCAATGTGGTTGTCTGAAACAATAAAGCAATCTAAAATGTCTGTTTGGGGGAGAGGAGAATATAACATGCCAAAGAAATAACCATCTTTGGTTGGTCACTGAGATACAGCTCTGGACAACTACCAAAACAGGAAAGAAGACTGAAATGTAGCTCTTGCATCACTATAATAGGGTGCTCAACTGAGGGACTGTATCCTAGCTGCGTCCTTGCAAGCTAGCTACCACGATAATGTCTAGTTTCCACTTTGCCAGGATTTCCAGGAGAGATCTGGCTGTTGTTTCTACTTAGGAACCTCTCTCCTTAGTCTTTTTTCTAATTGGGGAGTTCAATATTTTGGAAAATGAAGCACTGTACAACCTGATCAAAATATAGCCAGGGAAGGACACATTACGTAATAGCTAGCCTGTACGTCTCAAAAATGTCAATGCCATGAAATAACTGAGCAACTGTTCCATGTTTAAAAGATACGAGAATTGAATGTGACAGATGATCTGAGATTCTCTTTTGCTACAAGGAACATTTTAAGGACAACTGGCAAATATGAGTAAGGTCTAGAGATTAGCTAAAAGCAGTGAATCAATGTTCATTTCTGATAGAGTCGACCCTTGACTTACGAACTCAATTCATTTGCGAAGGTTGGTTGTAACTCAAGTTGGTCAACTAAAGGCTCAGGCTTTTCTTCAAAGCCTTCAAAGTCTCTCACCTGTATACAGGGAGATCTCAGTATCCTTGGAAAGGCACTGGCCCAGGATTTCTCAACCCCACACAGGAAAGGATATTGCAATGTTCCTTCCAGAACTCTTTAAGGGTTAAATCTGTATCTGAGACCATCTGGAAGCACAAGTGATCAGCATCTGGGTCGTAACTCAAAACTTTGTAAGTCAAAACTAAAACTCTGGTCATAACCCAAGTTGTTTATATGTCAGGCTGGTCGTAACTCGAG